GTAATTTTGTTAAAATTAAAGGTTAAAATGGGTATAAGAAAGGAATGGGGAGGGTGAAATTGGAAAAAATTGAAAGAAGATTGCATGAGAAATTGCACTGGTGGTTTTTTCGGTTTTGACATCAAACGGTTTTCTTATGTAAATTGAACCGTTTTTATCATCGAATATCGGTTTGACCGGTTCAATCGGTCAGTCTGATCCGGTTTTAAAAACCTTGCCTGGTAGTATAAACAGTTCGGGTGTATTCTTTAAAACGTTTGAAATGCCAAACCATTTAAAATTGACAAGAACTATTGGAACCGTTCAAACCAAAAAATCGTTTGACTGAATGGTTCAATGCTTTAATTACCATTGGAACCGTTCAAACCAAAAAATTGTTTGACTGAATGGAACCGTTCAAACCAAAAAATCGTTTGACTAAATGGTTCAATGCTTTAATTACCATTGGAACCGTTCAAACCAAAAAATTGTTTGCCTGAATGGTTCAATGCTTAAGAATTAAAGCTTAAGAAATTTGTATCAGATATAGCTTGAACTTGCAACCTTGAAGCCTTTGTTTCAATTCTTGGCCACCAAAATGCAATCCCTATGTTAATAGATGCTTGAAATATTATTTATCTAATAGAAATCTTAAAACTTTTAATCAAATTTTGAAGGACAATTATGAGATTTGAACACCCACTCGAGACACAGGTTTTTATTTGTAATTTTTGTTTTATAATATATTTATTTTATTTTAAAACCATAATTATATTAAAATTTATTCATAGACTTGAACTTGTGATCTTTCTTATAATTAAAAAAGCACCTACCACCACACCCAATGAACACCTAATAAAATATTTTGTATAATAATATATTTAGGAAAATGATATGTGCACACCTGGGTCAACACCCGGGTGTGCACACTCCCCTTTGAAAAAAAAAAATGCCCATCACCCACCCAGTCCAATTTTTTTTTTTATATGGGGGTGCACACCCGGGTGTTGGATCCGGGTGTGCACCAATCAGGGTCCATATATTTATACTATATTGATCAACCGTGAACTGGCAATCAATGATTTAACCTCGGGTTCGAATTTAAAAATGTTGCCTCTACGTTTCCCACAAGATGGAGGAAATTCTTATGAAATTTCATGAAAGAAAAATACCTCCATTCTCACCTAATGAAAACAAATATTTTTGAAATTTTCATCCCGTGATGGGAATATTCGCGAAACTCCACTAGTTACGGGGGAAATCGCCATCACCATGCAGTCCTAATTCCATTAGGAAAAACGCGCTTCAGCTGTGAATTAAATCCTAAACGGTCAAATACCGGTGTTTGCACTGGCCGACCAGCGCCATTATATAAGCCCTAAGAAAGAAAGGAGACGTCATAACGTTCTTCCTTTCGCACACACTTGAAAGCTCTCACTTTTCTTCTGCTTCATATTGCACAGCCGGTCGACTGTTCCTTTGATTCTTCAAAGGTTCGTCCCTTCTCTGATTTTCTGTCTGTGGATTTATTCCCAGATTTCACCCATTTTCCTTTATTGCTGTGTGATGTTTGTTTTTGGGGATTTTGATAAATCTATCGTCTCTCTAAGGTTGTCGGATAGCTGGAAATCTGATAAACAATCGCAATGGTCATATGAAATGGAATGGTTTAGGATGTGACTAATAATAAAATTTTGTGCATTTCCTCCAAATTTTAGTTTTTTTTTAATATATTGCTAATTGGTTTTTTAATCATTCATGTGCCTGCACTACATCAATCTAACTAGCCTACAAACTGCAAAAAGACAATTTTTAGAAGCTATTTAAATGCATCAATTTCATCTGTAGCATTTGTTTGGATGCTAAATTCTAAATCCTGGGATACTTCATTTTGTAGTGGATAATGGTTATTGATCAACAAGTTTGCTTCTTTATTTCAGAAAGCTGCTGATTAAGATGGAACTTGCCTTTAGATCTTAATTTCATTGGTCATTGCTGGGTATTCTATTCAGTTTAGGTTAAAAGGTATTCAATTCTTGTTGTATGACATTAGTTTCTTGCATGTTAACAATAAAGTTTCTATACATCCTTTGGCAGTGGAATCCTTGTTACTTTGAACGTTTAAGATTGACAGTTTGATGGCCAAAAAAAAAAAAAAAAAAAAAAAAGAGATTGAGGACAGTTCACAATTTGTTTTGATCATAAGATGTGGTTTACTATTTACACGTAAGAATACGTTTTTTTTTTCTAGGTTTTCCTGCATCTATGCACATCACCATATACTGCAGGGTACTGAATAATTTCCCCCCGTGAGTTACTGCTTGATGCATTTCCAATTAATAAGAAATTAAATGATCCTTAAAAGTAGAGTCTTTGAACATTACATGTTGATGGTTCACCTTAGTAAAGCATGTTTAGGCATTTGGACTTGTGGATTACGTGTAGTAAATCAATTTTGTTTCTTTGATAGAATTTGATTATTGTCTGCTTCTTGCTCACTTCTTAGTTCAAACTAGCTTTCCTTCTGTATGCTGCAGAACCTTTGAGGATATCAAGAAGGAACAACAAGAACGCAAAGTGATATGGCCTCTGAGAACGAAAATTTCAGCCGTTCAGGACCCTCGCACCTAACTCGTTGTATCAATTGGTAAGATCTTTGACCCCTTCACAGCACCACACTGAAACTTGAAGTACATAACAGAAACGATTGAAAATGAAATGTTGCCTTCCAAATGTCTTAAAGTTCTAAGTAATCTGAAGATTTTCTTGAGATGATATTCTAAGATTTGATGCCACTAGTCTTTCCTCATTTGCAAAGGGTTATGTGGTGCTTATGTTCAAGTCATTTTCACTTCATTTGTTCTTTGTTTATTAATTACAGCTATAATGAACAAATGGCAACAGTTAAAGATAATCTTATCCAATATAAAAATTAACAGAGTAGGCTGCTGTCTATTGAGTATGGTTCTTATTCCTGACAATATATTTATTCTCTCATTTTAGGCTTTGTTTGGGAACAGTGTGCGTTGCTTTAGCTGTAGGTTTTTCTGTCTTTTTACTATCCAAAAAATGTATAAAATATTAATTAAAATAAATAATAATTATATTAAATATATTTTATATATTTTTGGGATATTAAAAGACCAAAAACCCTATGGCTATAACTACAGCCCATTGTTCTTAAATGAAGCCGTTGTCTTAGCAAAATGGTTGTTGAAATAACTGTCTTGTGCAGGACGAATGCAGATCATCGAAGGTCTGTAGCAGCCTGTTTGGTTCAGGGCGTCTACAGTTTGCAGCATGACCGCCATCGCCATGAGAAGCGTGAAGATTCACAAGCTCTGGCTCCTCCTTGGTGGGAGTCCTTTCATTTTGAGTTGCTTGATCGACTTGTTGATGCTGCTGATCTTTCCATCTTCGGTGCCATTTACGAATATAAACCTCCGACCTCTCATTATAATGACTCAATTGAAAAGCGCCCTCGTTATGTAATTGCTTTCCGAGGTATCCTGACCGAAGAAGACACTATCGCAAGAGACGTTGAGCTGATTTTCCACTTAATCCGAAATGGACTCCACCAAAAATCTCGCTTTAAGATTGGCGTGCAAGCTGTTCAAGATAAGGTAGCTGCTGTTGGTGATTCAAATGTCTGGTTGGCTGGACATTCCTTAGGGGCAGCCATGGCAATGCTGGCTGGAAAGACTATGGCCAAAA